TAAATAATAAATAAAAGTGAGAGAGACAGATCTTATGCAGAAGGTGACAGAAACATGTTGCGCCATCACAAGTGAACATTAAGTGGAAATACCGTTAAATAAATGGTTAACAGTACTTCATTCCAATTAAGCAGCTGGGCCTGAGGATTGTTTTCCAATTAATCTGTAAAATGAAGCAGTTTCTACCAGTCAATTGCTTGTATTAAGACATATTCAGATGTGGCTATATGAAGCTTATCCTGACCACATGCTACTGCGTATCCTAGTAAAGGAAAGTAGCAAACCTTTGAACCTGTGGTGTCAAGATAGATATTGACTGCACTGCCATTTGTCACCTCACCCTTTTGTGCATCAACAAACATTTCCTACATTGCATCACACAGAGTAGTGATTTCGGCTAACCACTTCTCAGTAAAACAAAGGTCCCTGGTGATCACTGTTTGTTATTAATTTTTCAAATAGGCTTAAGTTAATTACAAGCAATTACACTCAAGTATGATGTCTTAGTACTGCTTTGCCATGCTCAGAAAGGTGGTGTTATTTACATCAGTCAATACAATAATTGCCTTTTCTCTGATGCTTTTGCCTTCATTATGGACTTATCTCTAAATTAGATTTTTGTTTGCCTTAAGTGCACTGCCAACAGCAATCAACAAAACTCAGCTTTTTGGAAGTGCTACAGGCTTAGCAATGCCCTCCTTCTCTGCTCATTAAAAGAAAACACCGTGGTTGCATTAACAGGATGAGAATTAGTGACGTATCTTAACTTTGAGACTGGTGGTTTGTGATTGCTTCTGTCTGCTCCATTGCAACACAAACCTCAAAGGAAAAAAACATAGATATTACATCACATCACTTTCAATAAACTCTTATCTAATTCAGGGTCACGTCAGCCTGGAGCCTAGGCTGAGAAGCGTTTGATGCAAGGCAGGATACAGCCTGGACAGGATGCCAGTCTATCACAGTGCACACACAGACATGTATACCCTCACAGCAGAGCCAATTTTTAAGCCAGTTAACCTACCAGCATGACTTGAGACTGTGGGAGGAAACTGGAGCACCCAGAGGAAACCCATACAAACATGAGAAGAACATGCCAACTCCATGCAGATAGAACACCAGGAATTAAACCCAGGACACCTACACTGAAAGGCAGCTATGCTAGCCACTGTCTTGCTGAGTAAGCCAACATAAATATAATTTAATTTCATAATTATTTTGTGCAGACCAAATTGTTACACACTGTATATCAATTTAAACATCATATCTGTCAGAAAACCCTTTCGCACAATGTAGATGTAAGCAATGGAGATTCTATGTGTATTGATTACACTAACCGCAGTGTGTCTTTAAAAGACATAAAGCAGCCCTCTTGTGTCACCCAATCACTACCACTCAGCTTTACAGCGATTAAATGTGAAGTTTTAAAATCAATGAAACACTGAGTATCTATTTCCCCTGCAGTGCAGTTTGGAATACAGTATTTTAATGACTTGTCATGGGTATAGTATATTCTTGGGGAGACAGACACTATGCAAATGGTTAATTTTTGATGGTGGGAACTGGTAACGCAAAGGGCCTGAGGGACTGTATTGCAGAAAATAAAGGCTTCTAGACCCTGTTTGGCATGAGCTGGCCTACTGACTTCAACCTGAACAGCACTGTTTCACCACCGACCCCAAAAGCCTATAAAGATTGGTTCCTCTGCACAAGTTCAGGGAGGTGAGATGTTTAGTGCCAAGAGCAGCTGGTGCTTGCTGCCAGCTGCCTGTTAAGCTGTTTGATTCTCTTCTTTTCTCTGTTTACTTAAGCCATTCTCATGCCAATATGAAAGAAATACCTGTGTTGCTTTTTAAAACCTTCAGATTCATGCATTAAATGAATAACTAGTAAACTAAGTACGGATGGTAGTTACTGGAGTTTGATTATAACGCCACAGTTGAAGGTGTTAGTTAAGGTGTCAGTTAATTGTCAAACATTGAATCACTGCTGTCTGTGTGCATCCCCTGCAGTGAACATCACATCCACCTCCATTGTCAGTTTCACACATACAGTACTGCATCCTAGGTTCCCCAGATCTTGTACTTAAGCAGCAATAGATTATTTCAATAAATCCACCTTTGCCACACGTGCAGTAGTCTGACACTAAAGCATTTCATCCTCTATTTTTTCCTCTTCAAAGTTTATTTCAATCACAGGAAAAGGTGCTTTGTATCTTATTGATTTTCACCTGTTATTCAGCAGGTCACAGACATCCTGAAAGTCAATACATATAGATCAATTTGAAGGATTACTTTATTGTGTATTATTTTGACTTTATTGCTTATTTCACCATGAGTCACTGAATCATTTTTCATCATAGTTATCCCACATCAATGAATATGAATTTGTGTTTAAGAAACTTCAGTTTCTAAGTATGACAGTGGAAGCTCCTAACCCACTGATCATTTCAAATGTAAAATGAAAAAAAAAAGTTGTTTTTTATAATAACTCCAGTTATTAGTTTTCAGATTCACAAGGACAATTTTAATTTCTTTCACAGCACATCCAGTGAATGTAGAGCACGTAGAAACAGTAATCAAAATAAATGCTAATTCATTTTTCTCAAAGGCTTAAGGCCCACTTGCTGTGATGTCATCAGTTCCTCTTTGTATTGGACTGCAGAGGAGTGAATAGCTAAGAACAAAAGGGCTGTGCAGATGAAGACAAAATATAATTACCGTGGCAAAAAATAATCAGGTCCTCAAACAAATTCTCAGTACAAAGAATGGAGCTCTATGAGAAATACACAGAATCCACATGTAAATGAAATAAATCAGGTTACACAAGGCTATGTTTTTGAAAAAATGAAAAAAAAAAAACAGCCTGCATAGCCAACAATATGCAGAGGGAGGGGGGTTCATTTTTTTTCTTTCTTGGTGTAAAATAGGCATTGAGAATACACTTTGTCTTTCAGTTCAGACAACATCCCCAGCTGAAGGATGTTCTTTGACTTGGAAGTAAAATGGGGAGACGGGAAGGTCTAAGAAATTGATATGAACTGAAAATTGAACCGCTGGTGTCTAATTTCCTCTTTTAAGTCTGTGTATTGACCAAATCATTCCAGCCATTAAATGCAGTTCAAAACTTCATTAGGTTCTGTGCTGATTCATGACACATATGTAACTGCCATCAACACAACTTAATTAAATGAGCATTTCTGTCTTATCTTATTTCTACAACAGCGACTGCTAGGAACCATTCAGACTTATTGAAAAATTATGCTGTACAGTAATGATATACTGGGGGAAATTTGATAATATTTCTTCCCCTGGGGTGTTCGAAATATATTTCAATTCCTTTCAATACAAAGTTGAAACACAGAAGGTCTTGTCTACTTATCAACCTATTACCCCAGACCTATAACCAATTAATATTTGCCTCCATAAAGTGAAACAACACAGTATTAAATAGATAACTCATACAAAAAATGTAAAAAAAAATGACATACATCCCACAATACAGGATCTATAAAGGTGAAAACAATTAACAGCAGAGAAGTGGGTTTAATTTTATTTTTTTTAAATCTACATATTAATTTTCTTGATTTAGGATATATAAACCAATGCTCTTTGTTCAAGTAGTGGAAAAAGCATGATTACTCTCATTAGCATTCACAGAAAAAATCAGAACAGTTAACAGTACTTACACACAGTCATATTAGCTATAATGGCTAGCCAAATTATTAGGACCCCCTACTTAGTAATATTGACTGCATTTTATGTTAATATGGATGGATCAGAACCACATCTGAAGCTAACTGTGCCTATTCCTTTACACATGTTGAGCCCACATGTTGCCCAGCCGGACATTTTCCATGTGTGAAACACCCCTGATACCCTTCTAGACAGCCTCTACCACAACACCTCTCTAAAAGTCTCTCAGATCAATAATATTTGCCATTATTTATAATATTTGCCATTATTATACAGTACATCATTCAGTCCAGTTTTGCTATTCAATCCACATGTTCTTCCATTCCAAAGATTACCTGATGCAGTCACGTTACTGATTGTGTTGTTTTTAGTTGTTTTCACTATACTAAGAAGAAAATATGACAATTAAGGACAAACTGCAGTGTCTATATGTATATAACAATACACAAACATCAAATGTGTGACAGTGTAGTGGGCACCAGTAAAAACTCAACACCCCGCGTGAGGGGACGGAGGCACCAGTGTGAGGTTATCAGGGATCAAAAACAATACAGAAAGAGTGGCAAAAAGGCAACAAAAAGGCAAAAAGAAAAAAACCTGCATTACCCCCAGGGTTGGTTTACCCTATTTAATGGGGTTCAGCCTGGGAAAAAAAGAGCCGCTAGACGGGGTCCAGTCTGGTGAGAAGGCGCGTAAGGTAAAAACAAAACAAGAACTGAGTGCGTAACAAAAATGCATGTGTATGCCTGCCCCAGTGTAAGTGCGTGATGGAACAGGCAAAAAGAAAAAGAAAACCTTAAATCGGTTGACATCCCCCGGGGACTGTCGGAAAAAACTCTCCCCCTTCCTGCTGTCCCCTTGCTCGTCCAGTCGGAGTGTGTCCAGTGTGCCTTTATAAGACCCGCCCAGCTGGGGCTCATCAGCTGGAAGCCAAAACAGCTGGGACTACAGAGGCAAGGCGTCGCCCTACTACCAGAGCTCCGCCTCCACACTGGACACGCCCCCATGTAATGCCACAAATGAATCAAGAGAACAACAAAGACAGTTAAAACATTATTAATATTATGAACATCACGTTAGGAGTAAAATAAAACAATAAGCTCAGAGGAACAATATTTGTGTGAACCAGCTTTTGACTGTACAAGTTAAATGAATTTATAAATTCATAGAGACATTTTAAGCTCTCTGCATTTGACTGGTGGTTGTGCTCCCTGCAAATGAGGGTAGGAGAATCCATAGTGTTTGACAGGAAAGGAGGGGTTACTCATTTTGACAGCATCACCATTTAACACAACTAGCACCTACCAGTACTGTCTTCGTAGACCACCGTGACCGTTTTCCATTTGTAATACTGCACCATGTCCAAAATGGCGCGGCTGATGGAAGCGTAGTCTGGGTAGAGGTTGATGTAAAACGAGTCTTTGTTGTCCACTGAGGGGTGCTTCCACCGGGTCTGGATGTGGGGAACTTCCAGCGCGTTACAAATGGACTGCACAGCACTGACCGAGGAGCTGTGAGAAGGGCCAAAAACTGCAGCCACGCCAAGTGCGAGCTGGTCACAGGCTGGAGAGAAGCAGAACAGTGTTATTTTTAAACAATGTGTTTTAGGTTTTCACGAGGCTGGTTTCAAACAAATGGTATAGTACAAAAATACAAGAACGACATGAATCTCTTTCGTCTCACCCTCCTCTCCCTTTTCAAGCTATCCCATCCCATCTGCCTTTCCCCCTCACCCTCTCCTCCCCTCTGGCCAAACAGTACCCTTCCAGTAGTAGTAAAGGAAGTATACTATATATAGACTGTATATAAAATAGTACTGTACAAATGATAAAGAATCTCAATAGGCTTTATTAAAAAAAACTAGAAAAGACAGTTCTGGGCTTAGGAAGTAGAAGCAGGATGGTAAAGCTCTGTGGCAGTCATTCCTGGTCCTGGAGAGCCATACGTTTTACAGGTCTTGTTGAGTATTACAACCCCTCAATGGCTGAGTCAACGCCATTAAGTTTTCTTTAATGGCATCCAGGAAATTTGTTAAGTTCATATTTACCTTGTGTCATAATTGTGTTTTTATTTTCAAAAGTTTAAAATTATAAACACAGCTTTAAAGGCAGGTAAGCATCACAAAATTAAAAGGTTGGTAATTCAGATAAATTCAGTAAATATTAAATTAAAATAGGCTGACAGTTGCATGGCAGTTACCATTACTGCTTCCCACATCTTCAGTCCTGGGTTCAACACTACTCTGGGCACTTTCTGTATGGAGATTGCATGTGTGAGTAGGAGTATTGGTTTTATCTGGGTGGTCTCCCACAGCCCAAGGCACAATGAAGGCTGGGTTAAATAGTGTCTAAATGTCCCTATGTGCATGTCTCTGCCCTGTGATGGACTTCAGGGTGTAGATCCAAGGTTATCTTTACTAAGGATTGGCATCTTTCTGATAATGAATGGAAGAAAAGAAAATCAGAAGACTATGAGAGTATCAGGATTATGGAGAAATATTATGGCTTTAGCTAAGAATCATCTCTGCTGCTGGAACAGTAAATTTGCTTTTCTATTCATTTTTTTACAGTACTTCTATAAAAACATGTTAGCTTTTTACTTTACTCCTGAAACAAAGTGTTATTTTAGGGAATATATGAATCTTCAGTCCCTCATACTGTGTCATGAGCTGTGCAATTATGAAAATCCTAATGTGTTGGGGGGTAATCAATCATTTTGATAATCTTAAATTTATCATCATCAAGATGAAGCTCTCACTCTGGTACACTCAAGAGCTCAAGAGGGTATAACTGTTTAAATTAGGTTATAAAACAGTGGATCATTTGTAAAATATCCGTATGTCAATTCAATCTGTATGAAAGTTTTTCAAATTTTGGGGAACTTTCACAGCAGAAAACATTTCTAGAAGAGTTACCATGTACCATTCAATGTAGAAGATAATCAACATTTTATACCGAAAATAGTTTCTGTGCAGGACTGGAAAACACTAGAAAACCAGTGACTAGACTAGTTTTTCTTGCGTGCTAATATTAGTCAGCCTGCTAAATGATGTTAGTCATTCATTCAGTGGACAAGTCATGCGATAGACTAGTGTCTTGTCCAGGGTGTATGCCACTTTGCACCCATTGTTTGCCAGGATATGAGCCACCCTGTATTTGCTAAAGAGGTTAGAAATGGCCAAATCTGTATCCATCCATCTACCTTTGTAGTTTGGAGATTTGCAGCCAAAGAGGAGCCTAACCCAGCACATACACAGTGCAAAGCAGGTCTATACCCTGAAGTTGATGCCAGTCCATCCCAAAGCCCAGAAACAACAGGAAGCACTTTAGAGATGCAGTTAACCAGGACAACATGTCATTGAACTGTAAGAAGATATATGTGTTTTATTAAAACCTAGACTATAAAAATAAAAATACAGATACTTTGCAAATGCCCCCTCATCAAAATTTGTCAGACTTCTGGAGTGGAGGAGTTCTAGTTTATAATTTATACATTTATACACGATTCTGCAAGTGTTCTGTAAAAGTATATGGCCAGTTAAGTCTCAAACTTATTTAAAATTACATAAAGGTGTCACCTGCAGTATGATTAATACACAGCAATGAAATCAGAGAAGCGCATTTACAAAACTGCTCAGGCTTTTGAAACAATTTAATTTTGTGAGTGTGGTATAATGTATTTGTTTAAATCCTGAAGTTTGAAAAAATAAACTTTCAGTAGGGTTGAAAATCATTACATTTCAGGCTAAGCTCAGTACGTCATCATCAGTTTGCCTGGATTAATTGTTCACTGTCATTTGTGCAATATACTGTAGGATCTTATAATAAAAAATACTAATCTAATTTCTAGGAAAAACATATATGCTGAAGTTTAGCAAAAGCACAGATTTGATGTCTCACTAATACGAATAACTCATAATTCTCTGCACCATGGTTAGGTCAGAAAACAAGATTCTCAACACTCTGTTCACTCAACATGTTGAGAATTAACTACCTGTAAATTCTGATATAAAAAAGCAATATTAATAACAACAGTAATACAAAGGACTTACAGAGTAAAACTAAATATTCTTGAAATACCAAAATGAGGCTTCTTCAGATCATATGCAACTAAAAAAAGCAACCTTAGGTTTGGTTGTTAGGTTTTGGATAACCATACAAGGGTTTTAAGATTTTGCATTTGAAAGCTTTTTCATAAAATAAATATATTATTGTAGTTGTTCTCAATCTCTAACATAAATATTAGTTTTTTGTGATAAACTTACTGTACAATCTTTTAGATAGAATGGCCCTTTCTTTGAAAGTGCAAAATTGCTACTTTGCAACGTCAAACATTCATGTTTTACTTTATTTCCATAAAATCCATAGTTTTCAAGCCAAATAATTAAGCATGAAATCACACAATGCATACAGCACTATTCAACAAACATAGGACAAGTGTACATTACATTCAGCAAAATGGGGTGATCTCTGTCTACATACAGGAATAGAAATTAAATCAATATTTTCCAAATATTTACTCAGTAAAAGACTTACCTCTTCTGGAGGCTTCAAAACTATCAAAGAGGTTTATTCTCTGAATGTCATAGGTAAGTGTGGTGTTTGGCATTAAGGTCCTATTTCGGTTTATATTGGTGACAGCAAATTTGAAGGCTAATTCTTCTACGCTTATAGGCTCATTCTCCAGGGTTTCAAAAATCCCCCCTGTGAAAAGAGAAATAAAGACTCTTTGAGGATCCAAGGTTTAATCAATACAGAATTCCACACTTTCTAAGGTTTTCACACATATTAAAACTGGCTTCTCTCTTTTCTAATTAGTTTTAGGGAACAGCAATAGAAAAATGTGCTGTTGCAAAAGGGTAGAAACATTGTTATATCAGGCTATTGTCACTGCGATTGTTCATGATGACATATTGAAGAAGTACTGTAAACCTACTGTAACCTTAACACAAATATGTAAAAGGTTATGTTTGAGACATTTTAGATGGATACTTTTTGCTGAAGGAGCAAGCACAGTAGGTTTCTTATTCAACATTCTTATTCGACAGGCCGCAACTAAACACATGATCACACAAAGTATTCCCTGCCCATCAGTCTGTCAGACAAGGTCAAAAGTAGCCAAATCTGTTGGAGACAAAGGAAGTAAATTGAAAAGGGCAGCTTTCTGCTTCCACCTGGCGAGGTATTCTAATGACTATTTAAGTGTGAAAGTCAAAAAGCTCTGAAAAGTTGGAATGATTTAATAATCTTTTGCACAACTTTACAGTCTACTGACCACCACAAATAGATTAAGACAAAATCCTGTGCTTTTAAGGTTTAACGTACATATATATTTCACATTTTATTGTGAAGTACAAAATGAAAATAAAAAGATCCAATCTACAGTATATAGAATCATTTAGAATAATATTTAATTTGTGAGAAAAGCAAAAAAGGGGAAAAATCCAAGCTGCATTATTTTGCTCATTTTGATCACAACTTTTTAGATATTCCAATATATGTAATAATACTGTATATAATTGTTGTTATTATTATTAGAGAAGAGCATTCACAATTTTTAAAAAGCAGCCGCAGTGCTTTCAAGCAGAATGCTTTAGTTTTTTGAATACCTGCAGTAGGAACTTGGTGCTACACTGCAGAGAAAGCAGGCTGTGGAAGTGCTTCAGTGCCTGCACACAGCAGCTAATGGAATACGGAGTCCTGCAGAGGCTGTGAACCTGCCAATGCGTATCAGTTTACCGAGCACTCTTTTCAACTCTGCTTAAGATTTAACTCTGAGTACTGAGGTCTGAAGAATGGAAGTAATAACTCTATAACAGGAGTAGTCATTGCTTGTGAGAACCACAACCCAGCAGGTTTCACAGGTCACCTTTAAATCACCAATTTCTAACCACTGGAACAATTCAATTTTGTTCATCATGGGAGCTGGAGATTTCATTTTCATTTATGTAATTTACAGGCCACTTAAAATGAAAACATTAACAAACCACAGTTCTCATGGCCCACCGTGGGCCATTCATGAGTTAATTGCACAAATTAACTTCTTAAATTGATCAAACACACACGTTTCAAGTAGTGTATAGTATATTTATAGTAGTGTATTTTTCCAGAACTGGCATTGGTCACCACTTCTCCCTAATAATGTTTCAGAATCTTCAACCCCCCCCCACCATAGTATTGATGATTTCAGTGGGTAAGCAATCTGAGACTTTGTTTTGGCTTTGACCCACCTGGCAAAGACAACTTGGCTATCAGTACAAGGTTACTGCACTTCTCTTATTTCCCACACTGGAACAGAGAAGCTACTGCAATGGTGGTGGTTAAGGAAAAGAAGAGGGGGTAGAAAAAGGCAGCTCCCACTCAACCATCTGCTAACTGCTTTATCCAATTCAGAGTCGAGGAGGAGCCAATCCCGGCAAGCCACGAGCCCAAGGCATGGCACACCCTGAATGGGATGCAAGTCCATTGCAGTGTACACACAGATGCAGACATGTAGACATTCACACCAGGGCCAGTTTTCCCAGAAGCCAATTAACCTACCAGTATGTCTTTAGACTACTGGAGAAAAATGGAGCACCTGGAGGAAACCCACACTAACACAAGGAGAACATACAAACTCCATGCAGATAGCACCCTGGTCCAGAATTGAACCCATGGCCCCAGTGCTGTGAGGCAGCAATGCTGACCACTGCAGCATCATGCAGCCGAAAGGGTGCTTAGTAGCCATATTTATAGTTAAATGGGAATGTATTCCAAGGGGTTGTCCTCTTGCCAGAGCTTTCAGTTAGAGATCAATTTTATAGCACACACACACACAACCATATATTAAAGCTGTTTTTGAATTTTGATCATTTGAAGCATCTACCTCTTACATGTAATAAAATCATCATGTTTTCAAAAATAGATGTACTCCAACTCAAAGTGCTAAATTAGGAATGGCAAGTGAGCTGCAAATACTTTGCAGCAAATATGTGGCATTGGCATACAGTAGGCATTCATAGAGTTTTTGTGAAACCACTGTAATGTACAGTATATATCCAAATTTGCACAACTGACTTTCATACCGAAGTCTACTTATGTGTACATCTCAAGGAACTAGGTCTCAAAGAAGAAAGAGCCTCTTCTTATTTAATTGGGCTTTAAAACAAGCAGGTTTGTTTGATTGGCTCACTATATTCCATAAAGTATGGTGTTTAACTAGGATAGTTGAAGACACTAGAACACGTACTGTACAGTAATATAAGAGATCTGTTGAGACCACTTCTGGTTTTTCTGATGTATTTAAAGGAAGTTATCTTGTTTAGCAGTGGAGACCTATAATTCCTTCTTGTCAAACAAGCATACTTTTTCAATTCAATATACTGTAACCTGTATAATACAGGATACAACCTATTAAACTAATTAAATTCATGTTAGTTAGCAATTTACAAATAGATGAGAGGTTACCTTTTGACAAAGGGAACAATCAAGAACTAGATTATTAATTTTTATTACTAGACTAGGGCTATCAGCAAGTGGTGTAAAATCAGTATTCTTACAGTGTACAGTACCTGATCTGACAGCACTTACAGTGGATCAGTGGACATGCAGCACAGCCGTCAAAACTATGTAAGTAATAGCAGCATTATTGATAAAAAAGATTTCAGATTTAGATGTCCTGCAACCAGAAAAGTTTGACATTCCTGCCCTAGATTGCCAGTTGTCATAAAGTCGAAGAATTTACCTCCAATGACTATAGACACAACTGTCAACTAAAGAAGTGTAAATGTAGAGTCAATACAGTTATTCCTAATGCCATCTGTCCTTGACTGTCTCATTATAAGGTTATCCACAGGGGACAGGAAAAGTTTACCATGAGAGATCCAAAGATAATGTCTAATGTTGTCTAATGTTGTGGTCAATGATTATTTAAAGCTTCACCTGCTGTAGACAACATTGTACCTGCATTCATCTAATGATTAACTATCAGGGGTATCAACACCCCATAGATGTATGATATTGTAACACAAAATGGTAACTCTTGCATTGTTGTTGAGCCTAGCAAGAGATAAGGTGATCAAAAGAAAGCTTTGAAAATGCATCTTTACTTGGTAGCATGAGATTCTGCTACATTCCTGCATCAGTCCTGTAAAAAATTAAATTGTGTAAGGAAAAGAATTCTAAAGGAAAATAAATGAAATTTCAAAACCTAAAACTGACTGAATTTCAAGTCCAGGAGCCTGGGAAGTTGAGCTAATGGAAGCAAAACATATGGTAGATTTAGATCCTCAAAACTGAACTTTTTAATGCTTTAACTATTTTATAGTAATATACTGATAAGAAGACCGTTTCCGTTACTCTGTACAGTATGTCATTTAACAGACTGAGCAAATAGAATGAATTGCAGTTTGTCAGAGACACGTTCACCTGGAAAATGAAGTGTGTTATCATCAATCATTTAAAAATTTTCCCCTCACAATCAGCTAATCATCCACTGAAAATCCAATTTAAAAATGCTCATGCCAAGTCAACTCTGGTTTTGTTTAATGTGTTTCATAGCCCTGACAATCACTACTGTCTCTCAAGTTTCACTACAACATTCATGCAAATCTCTGACCTTTGAAAGGACCATTAAATGTTAAACAACATAATTTAATGAAATAAATAAGCACATTTCACAACATCTTAACAACCTAATGAAGGACATGTAAAATCCAATCCATTTCAGAGTTAAGCCAGTAACTGAAGTCTCAGAAGAATGTTTACCTGTATGTATTTAAAAATTGGTAATGAACAATAACAATTTAATCTGTTTTTCTAAGGTCAGTTTGGGCTACTTCTTGGTGATAGTCATGGTCAATGACCTGCCATGGCATTTACAGTCTACTCAATTTCAATTTTAGACACAATGTTAATATGAAACATTTCAAAACTAGTCACAGCCTTTTCACTCAACATGTATGAAAATATGAAGCAAATCCTAATCTGTGCCCGCTACTCACTACCATTTTCTAGTACTGAATTAATTATCAAAAAGATGGTTTAGTGAAGAATTTAAGAAAATCAAGCTTAAAATTATACAAGCAAGAGAATTAAACCTGTGGTAGAAGAAAATGGTCTGGGATAAACATACTGATGACTGCAGCTGTTTCTTTTAGAAAGGAACAGGCAGTATAACAGAAGGCAAACCTGGTGCACACTAAGAATATGCAGAAACAGCCTGCCTCAGAGGTGACCATATCATTCCAGGAGACTAATAGGATTAGAGCACAACTGCAGAGATAGCAATACTGTGATTTAGCATTTTGCTGTTGCCAAATTCATTGCTCATGGTATCACTCTGTGATTTGCCACAGCCCTTAGGGGAGAAGAAGAAACATTGACAAATGGTAATAAAAAATGAACCCAGACAGAGTCTGTCAGAAATTAATTTGGAGATAAAATATCTTTTTCAGATGGTGCAGGCTTTGGTGTGGATAGATCGGGATGTTGTAGATAATTCTGAGAAGCAACTGGCTATAACTCATGAAAGAGGACAGATTTTCCCTATACATACAGCAAAACATGGGTCCTATTGGGTTTTCATTACACATGAGTTCCATATCGCCTAATTGAACTAATCAAATCAATTTTAACATCTTATATGGTCTGAAAGAAGTCATTATTCAAAGAGACATGCAAAGGATTGCAGCTTTTATGACTTGACTTGAGGGGAAGCACTTTAT